CTTTACTCCATGCTCTTCTTGACTTCATTGTTTGTGTTGAGAAGTCTAATGCGATTCTAACGGGTTTTCCTTTATAGGTAATCTGTTTCTTTTCTAACCGCTTTTAATATTGTGTCCTTATGCTGAATTTCTGGGATCTTGATTATATGTTTGTGTGTAGATTTATTTTGGTTATGGCTAATTGGAGCTCTACAGGCTATACTTACATGTTTCTTTTTCCATATTTGGGGAATTTTTGGCTATTATTTCTGTGAATAGTCTTTTGTTATCATTTGTGTTGTCACCTTTTCCATTTGCACCCATCAATCTTTTATTGCTTTTCTTTGCGTCACCTTGCAATGGTCAGATTGTTATTTCCTGATTCCTTGTTATTTTTAAAAGATCTTGCCTTTCTTGTTCAGTAGCTGCAATCCTGTCTTCTCGGTCTGAAAGTCTATCTTCACATTCTTTCAGGCAGTTTTGCCAGCTTTTGATGGAAGTTTTGATTTCCTGGATATCTCCTTCAATTTTTTTCACACATTCCATTTCTTTCTTATATTGTTCATGCAGGTTTTCCATCTTTTTGCAATGCTCTTTGATTTTTTTAAATTATGTCTTTTTTAGATGTGTTCAGCATTTCTTTCCTTATGTTTATCATTTCTTCTTTTACCTGGGCAATTATTTCTGATCTAAGTTCCTTTACAGCTTCATGGAGTTGCTTCTTTACTTCAGTTGCTATCATTTCAGCAATTTCAGGCATCCATATGTTCCAGGCTTGTTTGGGATGGGTTGGAGGTTTGAGATTGCATTTTGCTCTTTCATTTTGTCATTTTCCTGTATTGCTGGGTCCCTAGTGGCAATTAAAGGCTCCCCAGGATGGGGGAGTACACTGCATGGACCTTCAGCACTTCCCATGTGGCTCACTGGAGTTCCTCAGCTACTTGAGGTCACTAGGCAAGGCCCTACCAGGTTCTGAATGGTGTAGTAAGGCTTAAATGGTGTATGGAGTATGCTGGGTAGGCATTCAAGCTCATGCCATGTGGCACACCAAAGCTCCCCAGCCTCTTGGAGTTTCTGGGTATGGCTCTACCAGGTTCTGAGCAAAGACCTGCCACTGCATAGCTAGAAGGGAATCACTAAGGTAGGCTTCAGCTTACATGTGATGGCTCCCAGTTACCTGGAGGTCACTGCGCAGGGCCCAGCCAGGACCTAAGTGATGATCTAGCAGTCCCACACTGTTTGGGTACACTAGGCAGGGGTCTACCAGCTTCCAAGCAAAGTCCTGTGGCTGCACAGCTAGATAGAGTTCACTGTGGCAGGCTTCAACTCATAAGCAGAGGCTCCTGGCTACCTGGAGGTCACTGGGCAGGGACCAGCCAGGAACCTGAGTGATAACCTAGTGGTCCTGTACCATTTAGGTATGCTGGACAGGGGCATACCAGGTTCTAAGCAGAGTTCTGCAGCTGCACAACTGTAGGAATCACTGTGGCAGGCTTTAGCTCACACACAACAGCTCCCAGCTATCTAGAGGTCGCTGGGCAGGGGCCTACCAGGTTCCAAGCAAAGTCCCGTGGTTGCACAGCTAGGTAGGAATCCCAAATCAATCTTTAGAGTAATTCTAATGAAGTGATGATGTAATATTTTCAAGGAGTTTTAAGAATATTTAAAAGGAGCATAGTGTCACAATTAAGAACTCACATTTTCAAATCATAGATTTAGGTTTAAATAGCTCTTTCACTGAACCAATATTATGGCCTTGGAAAAAACTAAACCAAGTCCAAATACCTTCCCATAAGGAAGTTCTTTAGATGACTATGGGATATTCCCATTAGCATCAATATAGTCTTTCAGAAATAATTATAGGTCCACTTGGGATTAATAATTATTAATCATGCTTTCAACCATCAATGAACTTATCAAGTCTTCCTAAATCAGATCCTGAACATTTTGAAATGTATCCAAGGATACAAACACACATGAAAATATGTTCTTGCCTTCAAGAAGCTTATATTCTACTAGGCATTAGCTTTACACTATTTATCATGTTTTTGTCTAAGAATAAAAAACTGTGCTGAATAAAATGACTTGAAGTCAGTTATAATTTATGTAATACAATCCTGAAAAGGCAAGGCAAGTAAGTCATACAAAAATTTAAAATAAATGAACAGAGCCAGACCTACACCAGCAGTCAATACCCACCATCAGATACCCTTGGCCAGCAATGGCCAAGAGAAGCAGTCTCACTTCAGAGAAATTTTAGCCAGTGCGGGAAGTTCCTAGGACCCTACTACCTACTTGTCCAGAAGAACTCAAGAATATGTCCAGAATGTTTAGAATACATGAAATAGATTCAAAGAGATATCCACGAAATTAAAAACTCCATTGAAAGCTGGCAGAATCATCTGAAAGAAACTAAATACAGACTTTCAAACCTTGAAGATAGATTCGCAGCTTGCATCTCAAAAAGAAAGATCTTTTAAAAATAACAAGGAACCAGAAATAACAATTCAACAGCTGCAAGACAACACAAAGAAACACAACTTAAGAATAACAGTTGTCAGTGAAAAAGTAGGAGTCAACACAAATTACATTAAAAGTCTATTTACAAAAGTAATAGAAAACTTCCCAAGCATGGGAAAAGGATGTGACATTCAGTCAAGTGAGGCATACAGAACACTAGCTAGCCATATCCAAAATACATCTATACCCAGACATATAATAATCAAGATCCCAGAAATTCAACACAAGAACAGAATATGAAAAGCTGTTAGATAAAATAAATAGATCACCTAACAGAATATGAAAAGCTGTTAGAGAAAATAAATAGATCACCTACAAAGGAAACCCAACAGAATCATGACAGACTTCTCAACACAAACCATCAAGTCATTCGAGGCCTAGAGTGAAGTATTTCCTGAAAGAAAACAACTTCAAACCCAGAATAATATACCCTGCAAAACTTTCTTTCAAAATTAATGGAGAAATAAGATACTTCTCTGACAAAGAAAAACTAAAGGTATTCATGACTGCCAAACCAAGTCTACAAAGAATAGCGAAGGGCATTCTAGAGAGAGATAAAAATGACCATGGTTCCAGGAACAGTGGTAGAGGGGGATCACCAAATGGGGCAGACAGTTATACGGAGGAAAAAAGCAAGGAGCCAATGGCAGGAAAACAGTATGGCAGAGACAAGCCAGTGCATGTTGACCATAACTGATATAAATGGCCTCAATTCACCAATAAAAAGCACAAGCATAGTAGTTCAGGAAATAGGATCCATTAATATGCTTTATATAAGAAACACATTTTACTCAACAGAAAATTCATAGACTGAAAGTCAAAGGAGAGAGAATGATGCTCTACATGAGAAGGAACTAGAAAAAAGGTAAGGGTAGCTTGAACTGCAGAATGGGTAAGAAAGATATGGCATTTTTATACAATGGGAAGCTACTCAGGTGTAAAGAAAGATAACCTCAAGTCTCTTGAATGTAAATGGATACAACTTGAAATCACACTCATGTATGAAATGGTTCAGAGTCACATGGGTGAATGTTGTGTTGTCTCCCTAGTATAAAAAACTGAAGAGTTAGAGGGATCCAAAATGCACAATAAATATTGTCAAAGTGAAAGTGCCTAAAAAGGGTGGGCAATGATCACTGTTAATTTATTATCATGTTTTGAAGCCCTGTATTGTTTTCATTGTTTTGTTTAGTTTGATTTTATTGTTTTGTTTTGATTTATTATATTTAATGGCATGGATAGCTCTATCAAAGATAACAAAATATATATATTGATTTCCTATTATCTTGTTTTTAAGCCTTATACTGCTTTCATTTTTTTGTTTTGGTTGATTTTAATCTATTTTGTTTTCTTTGATTGTATTATGACTGATAGTATAGGCAGCCACTTTGAAAATAACAAGAGGCATTATGGTAGCCACTGCAGTTTTATTATTATCTTGTTTTGAAGTCCAATATTGCTTTCATTGTTTTATTTTGATTGGTTTTATTCTGTTCTGTTCTGTTTTGTTTGATTTTATTATGCCTGATGTCATGGGCAGCTATTCTGGAAGATAACAAGAGGCACTATGGTAGCCATTATTAAGTTCCTTTTATCTTGTTTTGAAATCCTATACCAAGTTCATTGTTTTATTTTGATTTACTCTATTGTTTTATTTAGTTTGGTTTTATTCTCTTGAAAATAAAAATAAATACAATAAAAATAAAATAAATGAACAAGTAACATTTACATATAAGCCAGCAGTCAAGAAACATCTAAATTTTAAAAATAGAGCCAGATGAATAAATTTAAGATCAGAGTATTTTAAAATTCATTTTTCCCCTTCAATTAAAATCATTGGTATTTCTGAAGCTATTTAAAGAAAGAAATGTTTGATCTTTTAAAATCAATCATGTCTTAAAGGTTGCATAAAGTTGACCTAGAATTGGTTTACATTTTGTCATATAAATTCCATTGAATATTAGTTTACTTTTTCCTTTAATTGGGCAATATGACTGGTATTAGGTACATCCTTATTAAGAAAAAAAGAAAGAAAGATTTTACCAGGATGAGCATTGTAACAGGAACTAGCACACCCAGAGTTGGGAGAAGTAGCTGGTGCCTTGTTAATCATAAAATTAAGTGAACCCTAAGAAGCTAAAGGAGAATGACTGGAAGTTAGATTCTAGCACGGGGCAACTTAGCAAGACTCTGTCTCAAAAAAAAATTAAAAAGACTGAGGATGTAGTTCACTGTGAAGGCCTGGGGTTCAATCCCTAGTTACACACACACACAGAGTTAAAACCATAGTGATATACAAGAAAATCACTATGAAGAGAGTTGGTCACAATATAAAAGGCTACATGAAATTTTAAAAAGTTTACTGAAATGATATTTATGTTTAGAGCTATATTAATAACTAATCAAAATTTATATAAAAATAACTTTGGGGTTTAGATTCTGAAATACTTAATTCTGACAGATGTAAAATGCAATTACTATTTAGTCATAAAACAACTTACCAAATTTTTACCATCTTGCTTATGGATAGTTACAATTCTACTTTCATTTGAGCCTTCCTGATTTGCTTGCTTAACACTGACATCAATAATATCAGGAAAATCACAATACAACTGTAAATCCTGTAATTAAGATCATCTAAAATTAAATGCAGTTATGGAATAATTTTCAATAAGTCTTATGAAAGATATAACATTAACTGCAAATTCTTTAACATAAAAAAAGGTATTACTGGTAACAACAGATTAGCATTAAATTTGATTCTCTCTCTTAAATGTCTAATCCTAAAAATACAATGGATTTTGCTTTGACTTTTTAAGTTAAAAATGATAGCATTAAAAGATGCCAGGAATTTAAAGTGTATTATAGTACATTCCAAACCAATTTTATACTAATAATAACCACTGTCAGAAAACTGAAAATTCAGCTATCAAATAATACTTTTAAAAGGCCATCCTTCTAAATCTCTAAAACAATCCAAAACATAAACATAAACAAATTTGAAACTTGTAAACCTTAAAAAGTTAAAAAACAGATATATATGTAATCATCTAAAAAAATCAACTTTTTTCATTTAGTTTTATGATTGTGCCTCCTAATTATCAATAACAGTGAAAGAGAAAAAGCAAAACCACCTTAAAATCATTTACAAAATTCAACCCTTTTCTGAAAACATAAGAAAGCCATTACTAATTGTCCTTAAAAATTACATAAAAAGCCACTTAAGAACAATGAGAAAAGAACTATCAATATAACCTTGACAGCTTCACACTATTAATAAATATCGCATTTATCAGTGGGAAAGAGAAGGATAAGACAATGTTTCAAATGACTAAAGTTACTGTGCTTCTATTGCCATTTTACTTAAAATGAAGAATGAGAACGTATCATTAAGGATTACCTGTTCTGTCAGTGTCTCATTTTCTTTATGTCTCCCTCTTGACCACTGAATTCCACCGTTTCCAGTTATTATAATGGTTGCAAAAATCTCCTCACCTGAAGGACCTCTTCCAGGTTCTTTTACTTCAAATTGTTCTGTGTAGAAGGCAGACTGAAGAGTCTCCAGATTTATAAGATACTTAAGTTTCAAGTTTCTGGCAGTGGCTTTGCATTGACTGAACTGCTGAATAAATCTGCGAAATCTGTACCTTATTCTCTTCCTTGTCAAAATATGATAGTCTTGGATCTTTGCTCTGACACATTTTGGTAAGAATGTCTTGTAGCTAGGAATAAAGAGCACACACAGAAAACAAAACAAAGATTAAAAGATAAACCTAGAATGAAGTTCAAAGAGAGGATCCTACCTTTTTCCATGATAGGTAGGTGATACAGCATAGTAGTCAACTGGAAAAGTCAACATAACCACCACCCATGAGGTAGAAAACCATATTTCACTTGATGATACACATACTCTCTGACTACCATAAAGTTTAGAACAGATTTTAATTTTCAGACCCTAATGACATGAATAGTCTAGTAACTAATAATGAAGTCTCTAACAATTCATTTTCTCTGATTTTACATTTCTGATAACTTCTAAAATGTCTTTTGCATTTATTATACTGTGTTGCAAATATTTCCTATATTCTCATACTCTAAAATTTAGCTGAATTCTGGAAATTTTTGAATTTTGTTGGATGCCTTGTTCACTAAACAAACATTCTTTTTTGTATTCATTGTTTTGTCTGGCCAGCTACTTCTGTACTTTGATCTCTATGTACCATATCCTAAAGAAGGTAGACAATTTATTTGTCTGCTTCTGACGAACATCTTATTTCTAAAGTACAACTACATAAAATCTCCATGACTCTGTATAAGCTGATCTTTATTCCTATTGTATTACTAATCTCCTATCTACTTAGATCTTACTCATTCTACAAGTCTCGCTCAAGCATCATCAAATCCAGGAAACCTGTATGGGCTTTATTCTATGCATGAGTTAGATGTTCCTCCTTTTATTCTTACAATATTATGTGGACCATCCAATAATATATCATTAAATATATTTATTAAAACTCCCCTTTTCCTGTTTAGTTATCACCAGGGGTATTCTGGAGCTGGCTCATATTTTAAGGATTTTTTTTGGGTGATTGCTGAACAGTTATAATTAAAATTTATTATATTTTAAGGATTTTTAGCTGATTGCTAAGTTGTTATAATTAAAATTATATAAGCTTACATTTAAATGAAGTAAATATATAGGTAATACTCAAAATTCATAACTTCTTAATTATTTTACCTTTTTATTTTGGTTTCAATTTTTATTACTATTCAGGCCTTTGAGATTATTTAAGTCTACCATACATGAATGGTAAAAAAGATGTATCATTGCTCTCAATTCTACATTCAGTGATGTTAGGTCAATAACTCAAAATTGGCCACTGTGGAGTATTTATTTGGTAGATATCAACAAATATTACAAGTAAATCAGAAAATATTTGTTGCTGTTGTTTTCTTTTTGGAAAATTGGTTGTTACCAGCATACAAATACTTACACCTTTCCCCATCTACACAAAGGTCTGTGACCGACTCAGTTTTTTACTCAGCTAGACAGAGATGCTAGAGAAATCCATTTTACTGAGTGGATGGGTTGCATTATAAATGTAATAACCAGTTCTGAATAGACTGTATCACTGTCAGCACTTTTATGACAATTCTCTGTTCAACTAATTTTCCTAAGTTCCATAGTTATTTTAAACCCTTTCCAAATTCTTCAAACCTTCTACCTTCTTGCTGATTCAAACCTCAGCAGCATTTTCATTGGACTTTTCTTTTTTTTCTTTTTTAATTTATTTATTTTTCTTTTTTATTTTTTTTAAGAGAATACAACAAAACAGAGCAGAGTAAAGCAGATAAGAACAAAACAATGCAAGCAACACTGCACTTCACAACAAGAAAACCGGATATCACCAGTAGCTACCGTAATGCCTTATTTCTTTGAAATAATTGAGCATACCTTTACACACAATCGTATTAAACATAACAAAATAGTGTAAAACAATTCAAGAGAATGAAAGTATTACAGGACATTGAAAACCAAATAATATAAAATGAAAAATGGCTACTACATTGGTAGAATCAATGGAAACAGAAGAAAGAAAGCATGGTAGGACTTCAAAGCAAGATGATATTAAATCAGCAATGGCTGTCACAATGTCTTGTTTTCTTCAAAGTAGCTGTTCATACCATCACACATAATAAAATCAAAGAAAACAGAATAAAACCATTCTAACCTATGAATGAAATATAAGGCTTCGAAGCAATATAATGGGGAACCATGATTACCATATAATCTTATATACTCTTACTATTTCTTACACTTGGGAGACTATACAGTATTTATACATGTAAGTTTGATTTATTTCATTTATGAGTATGGTCTCAAGTTGCGACCACTTATTTTTAAATATGTCAATGTGATCATTCTTTATAGCGGAGCAGTATTCCATTGTATAAAAATACCACATTTTAAAAATCTATTCCTCAGTTCATGGACATTGAGGCTGTTTCCAACATCTGGCTATTACAAATTGTGCTGCTATAAACATGGGTGCACATATATCACCGTGGTATGTTTTCAGTTCTTCTGGGAATATGCCCAGAAGTGGGATAACTGGGTCAAATGGGACTTCCAATCCTTGCTTTTCTAGGAATCTGTAGAATGACCTACTCAGTGGTTTTACCAGTCTACACTCCCACCAACAGTGCAGAACAGTTTCTTTTTTTCATAATCTCTGTAGCATTTGTTGTTGGTAGTTTTCTTGATCCTGGCCATTCTTTCTTGAGTGAGATGGAATCTCAGTGTGGTTTTAATTTGCATTTCTCTAATGATAAATTATGCTCAACATTTTTTCATGTATTTACTTGCCATTTGTATTTCATCATCTGAGAACTATGTTTTCATCACAGATGCCCATGTTTGGAATGGGTCTTTGAATTTCGGGGATCTGATATTTTAAATTTCTTTATGTGTTCTAGACAAAAGTCCTTTGTCTGAGGGAGAGTTCACTAAGATTTTTTTTTTCCCAATTTGTGGATTTTCTTTTCACTATCCTGGAGATTTCCTTCATCATGCAGAAACTCTTTAATAGATGTTATCCTACTTGTTTATTCTGGGAAGTATTTCCTGTGTAGTTTGATTTTTGTCCATGAATTCGCTTCCTACCTCTATGTTTTCAAGATTTCTACCTACTTTGTATTCCAACAGATTTAGTGTTTCTGTTTTTGATATTTAGATCTTTGATCCATTTAGACTTTTGTTTAGTACATGGTGATAGGCATGGGTCTAGTTTTAGTTTTCAGCATATAGAGAGCCAATTTTTCCAGCACCATTTATTAAAGAGACATTCTTACTATTTTTTTTTTTTGTCTTTTTCCTTTGTATCAGTACTGAGGATTGAACTCACGACTGCCTGTTTGCCATGCAGGCGTTTATGCCACTGAGCTAAATCCCCAGCCCCTAAAGAGATGTTCTTTCTTCCAGTAAATGCGTTTGGACCCTCATCAAAGATAATGTGGCTGAGTGTGTTTGTAGCTGTAGTTGTATCTTCAAATCCATTCCACTGATCTTCAGGTCTGCTTTCATTTCAGTACCATACTGATTTTATTACAGTAGCTCTGTAGTATAACTTCAACTAAGGGATTGTGATGCTTCCTGCCTTGCCTTTGTTGCTTAGAATTGCCTTTGCTGTTCTAGGTCTCTTCAGGTTCCAGATGAATTTTAGGAGTGATTTTTTTATATCTATGAAGTATGCTACTGCTAGATACTTTATATCTATGCAGTATTTGATTGTAACTGCATTAATATCTACGTAACGCTTTTGGGAACATGGCCATTTTCACAAGGTTTGTTCTTCCTATCCATGCACAAGGTATGTCTTTTCATTTTCGGAGGTCCTCTTCTATTTCTTTTTTCAGGGTATTAAAATTTTTCCTGGATAGATCTTTACTTCTTTCTTTAGATTGATTCCTAAGTATTTCATTATTAGGGAAAATATTTGGTATTCACACATGCGAGATTGATTTATTTCACCTATGAGTATGGTCTCAAGCTGTGCCCATTTATTGATAAATATCTCAATGTGATCCTTCTTTATAGCTGAGTAATACTCCATTGTATAGAAATACCACAACTATTTTATCCATTCTTCAGTTGATGGACACTGGGGTTGTTTCCAAGATCTGACAATTAGAAATTGTGCTGCTATAAACATAGGTACACATATATCACTGTGGTATGATGCTTTCAGTTCTTCTGGGAATATGCCTAGAAGTGGAATAGCTGGAATAAATGGGACTTCTAATCCCAGCTTTTTGAGAAATCTCCAGACTGACCTCCACAAAGGTTGTACCAGTCTACACTCCCAACAACTGTGTAGGAGAGTTCCTTTTTCCCCACAGCCTCTCCAGCATTTGTTGTTGTTGGTTTTCTAGATCCTGGCCATTCTTTCAGGAGTGAGATGGTATCTCAGTGTGGTTTTAATTTACATTTCTCTGACAAATGATGATGAACATTTTTCATGTATTTATTTGCCATTTGTATTTCTTCATCTGGGAAATGCGTATTCATCTCAAATGCCCATTTTTGGATTGGATCTTTGAAGTTTGGGGGTCTGGGTTTTTTAAATTCTTTATATGTTTTAGACAAAAGTCCCTTGTCTGAGGGGAAGTTCACTAAGATCTTTTCAAAGTTTGTGGGTTTTCTTTTCACTATGCTGGAGATTTCTTTTGACATGCAGAATCTTTTTAATAAGAGGTGGTCCCAGTTATTGATTCTGGGAAGTATTCCCCGTGCAGTTTGAGTCCTATTCATGAATTCTCTATCTACCTCTATGTCTTCCAGGTTTCTACCCAATTTGTCTTCCAATAGATTTAGTGTTTCTGTTTTAATATTCAGATCTTTGATCCAATTAGATTTTAATTTAGTACATGGTGATAGACATGGGTCTAGCTTTAGTTTTCGGCAAATGGAGAGCCAGTTTTTCCAACACCATTTATTAAAGAGACTATCATTCTTCCAGTGAACCTGCTTGGCTCCTTTATCAAAGATAAGGTAGTTGAGTGTGGTTGTAGTTGTGACTGTATCTTCTAATCTATTCCATTGATCTTCGGATCTGTTTTGATTCCAGTACCATGTTGATTTTACTACTGTTGCTTTGTAGTATAACTTCAAGTCAGGGATTGTGATGCCTCCTGCCTTGCCTTTGCTGCTTAGAACTGTCTT